AACTGGGCGCTAGATTCAGCAATATACATAGCGTGAAAATTCCTCTCCTCCTGAGTGAGAGGCAGGCCATCATCGATTCATCATCGTATGAGTCCGGTTCCGACAACCCGGTCCCATATGAATTCGTCTGAATTAGATCGACATGGAATTGTGACTCTGCATTCCACAAATCCACAAACTTCATCTCCTTCAGAGCCAAATTATTCCTTATGGACGCCTCAATCAAGAGATCCTCCTCTACCATCCCCTTAACGTTCATTACATACCCCATAGACACCTCTAAAAACGATCATCCATCATTTGAAGTAGCCCAAAGGATGTACGCCCAGTCATTGAAGGAGAGTACAGTAATTAGGGGTGGGTATGGACGACGACCCTCCCGAGCCTTTCAACCGCGGACGCGGCGGGCAGCGGCAGAGAGGTCAACCACTTGGCAGTGGTCACTCACGAGGACGAGGTACTCATCGGTCCAGGCCGGATTCATGTGCAGACGACGATTGTTGACGGTCCGCGGACTTGCGTTTTCTTGCCTTTCTCATTGTGCTTTACTTTTTTGGTCTCCATGGCAGACGTAGTGTTTCGTGATGTTGTATTATAGTCTACTTTTAGTCGGCACTTTTTGCGCTGCTTACACATGGTTTCGTTCGGTACATGGGAGATTATATGTTTTCACTTTATTTTTTAGCCTAATTTTTAGTTGGTACTTTTTAGTGGGTATTTTTTGGATACTCTGGCGAGTATTCGACACGACGTGTTAGATGTATTTTGCTATTATCCATGCAACATTGTTTTGCGTTTTGCTTCGATTATATCTTGGCGTTTGCATTGTTTCTATTTTCATATGATGAGTGTTGTGTGCGCGTACATAAGAGCAGTGTGTGAACTTGCATTTTTTCACATGAACCATGTGAATGGAATGACAACTACATAAATGTATGCATCGACAAATTCCTGATCTCTCAGTAATCCCACTTCGCATTGTATGAGCACCATAAAAACCTTGGTTGTGGGGCGTGGGCGGACTTGGGAGGTTTGGGCGTGGCTCGATTTGAATCCATGCCAAACCCAAATCCCCCTAGTGCGTCCACACCCCACAAAACCGAAACCCTTCCTTCGCGCCCTTATCCCTCCCCGCTTCTCCCCCCCCCCCCCCCCCCCCCCCCCCCCCCCCCCCAAAAAAAAAAAAAGGATATTACGAAGGGTGGCCGCTCTGAGGCTTATTGAAGATGAAAGAGCAGAGGGAGTTTGTGGGGCGTGGGCTGACTTGGGGGATTTGGGCTTCGTGCCGGTTCAAATCGACCCAAGCCCAAACCCCCCAAGTCCGCCGACGCCCCACAAAACCCAAAAAACTCCCGTGGCGCCCTCCCTCCCCAAAAAAATGAAGTATATTAGGAAGGGTGGCTGCTCTCATGCCTATTGAAGATGGAAGAGCAGAAGGAGGAGGGGGGGGGGGGGAAACTGAAAAAAAAAAAACAAAAAACAAAAACCTGGAATTTTTTGGGGTTTTATGGGGCGTGGGCGGTCTTCAGGGATTTGGGCTTCGTGCGGGTTCAAAAAGAGCCAAGCCCAAACCCCCGAAGTCCGCCCACGCCTCACAAAACCCAAACACTCACGTCGCGCACCCACTACCCCCCCCGCACGTATGCCCCCCGTAATGATCATAACCTATTCCAATAATCCCCCATTGCCCTGCCCACACCTATACCCCCCCATGACCCTCCCTAATAACCCCCTCAAACTGGCGGCCAGCAAGGAACCCTAGGTGGCGTAGTTGGGGGGTTGCAAGTGGGGGCGGGGTGGCGGTGGGGTTGGGGGGTTGGGATCGGGTCGCGTTGACGTACGGTTGGGTATGGGCGGAGGGTGGTGTTGGGGGGGGGTGACGCGGGGGGGGGGGGGGGGGTTCCTCGGGGGGGTAACTTTTTGAGTTCGGGGACGGGTGAAGGAGGACCCCCACCCCGCAGCCCCTAACATGCGCGTGAGGGGCGCGGGGTCGCGTTCATTTGTTTCGCGCCACATGGTGCGCAGCTCATTTGAACGTGAATGAACACGGCCCCACGCCGTATGAGCGCGCGCGCTCGAACGAGAACGCTCGTTCGGCGAGTTCAAACAGTTACAGAGCACATGGTATCCCATTTTTGGATGAGGTCTCATTGGCGCTCGTTACACAACTCCGAGTCCGACGTGGAGGGCCTCAACCGAGTGGCCTTTTCTTTGTGTTCGTCCGTGCCGCGTGTGCAAAAGTTGAACCCTTTGGCCTGATAATGCTCGAGGCGACGACAATCGCTGCACAAAGTGTCAGGCCAATGAGGCTCCACTGCCCTCCACGGGAAGGCGATCGGTTCGTTAAAGGACAATAACAATGAATATGGCAAAAAGTGTGTATCGATGATAACAAAACCCGCACCAACGAATCCAGAGAACCGAGTTTAAGGAGGAAAGTAGTAACGCCCTCTGATCTTGGCAACAACTTCTCGTACGTCCCACTCTCATACATGTATCTTTTCCTCGTTGTACAGGAAGGGGCGCGGCGGGGGCAGGGGAAGTTGGCACCCGGTGAGGTTGGGGCTGTCAGTCCACATGGCCGCAAAGGTAATCACAAATCTTAATCATACATCATTCGTCAGACACTCCTGGCAACCCGATCATTCAGTCGCTCATCCAATCATCCCTTCAATCATGCTACAACAAAATCTATAATCACGGCTCACCACATGCACATACCGAAGTGAGAGAAGCAAAGTTACCATAATTCATCCATTATGACATGTCGTGACTGGAGGAGGGAGAGTGTGGATGCAAACCCGCAGGGAGAAACGAGTAGAAAGCAATCATAGAATGCCAGGCGATCTTGCCTAGAAATATCCCAGCTTAAAAGTCGAGCGATCAAAATTCGAAGATACAAATTTTGGAGCAGAAAGGAAAGAAAGCACTTCTGCCATAAAATTTCACCATGGCCTCGGGCCATGCACTCTCTCACTTCCGACTCAAACGTTTGACTTGCACTTACGATCCCGGCCGTCACGTGCCAATCCACCATAGCGATCGTCACCTCACCGACTTAGTCTCTGCACGGCCCTGCGCGGATCCCACAGTCCGTCGGGCGCTCCAGCATGCCGAGCGCCAGACTACAGCCCGCTCGTCGGGACTTTTCAACTCGCACCTTCCTTCATATGATCTGGCCACAGCTTCCCGAAAGCGGACTGATAAGTCGAGAGAGCGGGATTTTCGGGAGCGCTTGCGGAATTTATAGCAGCGGAAAAAATGATAGATGTTAGGAAGGGTTAGGACTAAGACAGGGAGGAGTAGGAGAGGGTTCAGGGATTGCTCGTCGAAATCCATGTCGATCCTTTGGATCCCAGCTGCAACCAATCAAAATTGTCGTGTATCAGGAATTTCCCTCTTACACGGCGTCTCCTAGGCTAGAGGGAGTGATCGGGGGTCGACAGGGTGTTTCGGCACGGGGACCTGAGCGGGAAGAAGAAGAGCAGCTTAGAGCGCAAAGAATAGTAGGAAACGGAACCAAGATTCAACGGATCAAAAACGAGAGAAAAGGTGCCCAACGCGATGAGGGGATGGAAAACGGTTACAGACAGAGAGGGAGCATGAGCGCGGCGAAGGGAGTGTCGAAAACATGGGGAGAACCGGGGAGAGGGGAGGCTCGCATGCATGGCGTAGTCGCGAAGGCAAAAAGGGCACCGAAACAATTATCGCTAATTCAAATTGGAAAGTACCATATCCGCGCGGCAAAGCGAGCGTGTGGGAAAGTCTTATGCCTACTCAGATTTCTGTGAAAATTCCCAGACCTTTCCAAAACGAAGTTGAGAACATTCATGCGCAAGAAAGGACACGTCGGATTCTGCCTATTCCGAAATTCCTAACCGTCGAGCCAAATTCCAAGCGCGTTTGCTAAGGCACGCGTAATGCCCATGTAATTCCCAATTTGCAAAAAAAAATAAAAATTGATCCGGGGGTCCCACATACTACATTCATGAAAATACAAAAAGAGGCCTCGTCAGATGGTCACCCAAAATTCGACAAAAATACAGAGAAGGGGGGGGGGGGGGGGGGAGATAGCGCAGTTCCGGAAGTTGGCGCGTCACATGGGTCCCAGGTGGCCAGCCCGTGCAAGGACCAGGAAAGGTCCCAGCAAAAAAAACAAAAGAAGAAATCCAAAAAATCCATAAACAGTTTATGTTATGCAGAAAAATAAACTGAATAACTTTTGCCTCAGGGTCACATCGAAATTTGTTACCAAATTCAAAATAGAAAATAAAATTTAAAAATATATTTTTTTATTATTTATTTTTATGGTTTTGGCCCGGCCGGGAAAGTGACCCTGGGCCACTCTAGTACCTTTGGCTGCTGAATACGGCCATTGATGAATACGGGCTACTCTGTTACTGCTAGAATTGAGTATACTCTGAGACTTGGATTTTTTTCTTGTGATGAATTGAACCTGGTACATTTGGCTGCGGCGTCGTTCGGTAGTTTGTTGGGTCCGGCTGATCTATGCGAGGTACATGGGATCTGGATGTCTTCTTGTGGTTAGTGTAGACCTCGTGTCTTAAAGGAGTTGAATTGTAGGCCTGAGTTGGGTTTGGTGACGTGACTTTTTTTTCTGTCTGCCAGTTTGTGGTGCTTTTGACGTTTTCTATACGAGTCTATGGATATAAGTAGGTCTTCTAGATAGGTGTCCGTCAAGTGACTTAGACCCCTGAAGAGTCCTGGTTGGCGGCCAGGCGAAACCGGTCAGGTCGTCACGCCAATCGGAGCTGTTTGTTCCGGCTTTGTGCCTTATCGCTTATCAATCGATTTCAAGTCACGTTCAGGACACCTGTCATCATCTTCTCTCTTCTTCTTGATGGTGTGGTCTACTCCCTTCTCCCTATCTCATCTTCTCCCTCCTCCTCTCTCTCTTTCTTCCTCTCCTAATTCTTGCTGGTTCTGTTGTGCATGAGTGGAGTGATTACGGCCATTTCGTGTTTATGCTGAATAAGCGTAACATATTTTCTTTCACGAAGTAACCGTGGTAGAAGTAAGACTACCGGCGTGTGGCTTCGACAACATCATCATACCGTCCAATGGTAATCCAGTTATGCCTGCAATCCTCAGTTGCTATAAATGCGGTCAACCTGGCCACATTTCCAGGTTTTGTCCGCTTTCTGATCGAAGGCTGAATGGAAGTCAGTTGTCTAATGCTATCGTTCCTGCGCAACCATCGTTGACTGCGCGTGTTGTTACTAACGTCGGGACTGTTGTGCCGTACTTCTCGGGTCAGTATAATGGAGGTGGAGGTGGCAATGGGTTAGTAAGAAGAGTTAGTACGCTGGAAGAGATTGTTGGGAAAATTAACAGTAAGCATGAAGCGGACGAGGCAAGGGAGCAGAGAGAACGTGAGCAAGATGAGCGTAGGAAGCGGGAGAAGGATGACGAGGAACGTAGACTGCGAGATAAGAAGGGGCGAGAAGATCTGCAGAAATAACTACGCAAGAAAATGTAGACTAAACTGGATAAAGTGTGCGAGGTCGTTAACCGCAAGAACTAAGGTGATGTTGGTGAGATTGAAAAGTTGAAAGCTCAAGTGGCGGCTCTTAGTCGGCAGTGCAATGCAGGTCGTTCAACTGTTGTTATCGAAATTGACCAAGTTGCCAGGCTTCGTGCTCAAGTGGAGCAACTCAAACGGGGTAATGATGGCGCTTCTACGTCTGCTACCGGAGGAAGAGTGGCCAAGGAGTCGAAGGAGGTTGCTCGTCTTCGTTCGGAGCATGCCGAAGATAGAGCGGCTAGGGGGAAACGGTGGGCGACGCTGGAGGAAGTCATTTGTGCCTTGCAAAAGCAATGTGAAGCACCCGAAGCCAATGTGGAGGTATGGAGAAACGAGGCCTTACGTCCTGGGAATAAGCGTGGAAGTATTGCGATCAGGCAGACTCCAGGCAGTGCTGCACGTGTTCGACCGCGTGTGACTCCGGGTGCTTCGCCGTGTCCTGTAGGGAGGGTGGATCAGCAGGTGAAAGCGATGGTAGAAAGGCATCAGCGTGAGGTGGACTTGCTAAACGAAATGGGATTGCGTGAAGTCAACGCACGTAAGGAATCGGAAGACGAAATCGAAAGATTAAAGGAGGCTATGGCTAAGTTGGAGACGAGTGGAAGAGCTCGAGGAACTAACTTGAGGAACAAGTTGGACGACGCTGCGGGACCTTCTGCCTGTAAAGACACGGGGGAGACGGTCTTGGCTGGATTGGTTAACCGGAGAGAGATCTTTGTACGTGAGGAACGTAAGCAGCTCCGAAATTTGCGTAAGGAGGAGGTTATCTCTATCTGCAAGAAAGAAGGTATTGAATGCACAAAGTTGGACCCTACTAAGGAGGCTATCATACAGGGTCGTGCCGATCGTGCTTTCGAAAGCAAAAACGGTACGGACGTTGGGAAAGGCATAGGTAAGGTGGATTATGTTGTTGACATCCCCGATGATGGGGAGGACAACCTCCATAAGGGCGACGGGCATGACTCGGCTACTTCTTAGGATCATGCCCGAACGCGACTTTTTTGTGGCGAATTGTTAATTTCTATTGTAGGATTCGTTCTGTATCCACTACGTGGCTGCGGTGCAAGGATGTTAATGTTCTTCTCACCTCTGCGATTTGTGGGTTTGATTCTGCTGAGTGCGATTCTGTGGGGTGTCAAGCTTAGTGAATTTCTACTTCGTGCGGCGCTTTCTTCTGAGAGTTGTAGTGACAGGAATGGGCCAATTGTTTATGTTCTTACTTCTCCGTGGGCACGTCATGCGTATGCCGGTAGTACACAGAGAGATCTTCATTCCCGTCGGAGGGAGCATGTGTATTGTGCTTGTCACCAGAATGTTATCGAGGGAGGCCGAAGGAATGAGAAGCTCTACCAATGGCTTCCTCGATGTGGCGCTCACAACTATGCTATTGTCCCTCTGTATCGATGCTTGCCCGATGATTCGATTGAGACCGATAAGTTTTTCATTAGATTGCTTGCCCCCCTGCTCTTACTGTCCATGATAAGCCGAAGCGGTGTAAAAGACGTTGTGCGGGTTCACGGGAAAGGTTGGAGAAGAGGAAGAAGGATTGTAAAGGAGTTCTGGTACAACGTGGTAATGAGTTTGACCATGGTTCCCTTTGCGTGTTTCATAGCACTAACGGTCTTGTTTTTGTGAGCTTTCTAAAAATCCTTGAGAAATGTAGAGTTATGTGCATGCATCTTGTTGTTGTTACTTGCGTAAGGGGTACTCGGTTGACCAATTGTTGGAAAGTCTTGAAGAGACTTTATGGAGGTTGTGTCGACCAGACTGAGTTCGGAAGGAAAGAGTTGCGATACTCTCGTGATTAGTTGAAGGGTAGGGTCTTGCTTATTATTGATCCTATTATTCCGTTCTTGAGTCGCTCGTTGTCTCTTAAGGGCCCATTAGTTGTATTCTTGAGTAATCCTAGTAGACGTGTTGAATTGAGTTTGTGGAACTTGGGCTCGCTGATTGCTGGTTATACAGTCGTTCGTACGTTTAGCGAAAAAAAAAACAGATGCAGGTTGCGTTGTTTACTCTCTCGCTATGTGCTCTCACGTTTTGGTATCCACGTTAGGAAGCGGGTGGTTGTTCGGATAACTTATGATGATCAACTTTGTAAGTCGAGTATTCGGAAGTTACGTGAAAGTATTATCGGCAATCTCGATGTGAATTTGAGTTGGAAAGGGATGTTGGTACGATGCATGCGCGTTGTGTGGTGCCGCAATAAGTGTGTTGGTGATTTTTTTCGGAACTTTCGGAGATATGCTAAATTAGGGAATGTTGGATGTCCTTTTGCGGCGGCTGATGAGGTTCTCCTGCGGTTAGATGGGCATGTATCTTTTCGATTTGACGATGTTCATGGGCTGTTTCCACCTTGGGTTCGGAATTCGAAGAATATTGTGAAACCTTCTCGATTACGCTCTGTTTCTTAGCTGCGTGCTCAAAATTTATGCTCCTTTAAAACTCATCCATCGCTTCCGACTTGTGGGTTTGAGTTCCTATCTTCTGACCTACTTCATGGCTGTTTTGTTAACAAGTGGGGAGGGATGTGTTCCGAGGCAGTCATTTTCGAAGATAAAGTTGGTCGTTTTCAAGAGTTACTTCGTGGGTTGGTATGTAGCCCCATGGATCATAATATGGGTGACACATTTGCGTGTACAAGGGTGTGCGAACTTTGTTCTTTGGCAATCCTGCTTTTTTTCTTTGTGGCGAGGATGAGATAGCTGTGCGAGGGAGATGTGCGACAGCGTATACGAAAAACTTGGGAAAAGGCATTGGATCTGTTGGGAAATGGAAGAAGAATGAGACATTTGGAGAGGCATACTGTTTGCCTAAGCACAAGGATGTAGGGAGATGGAGGCCGATTTGCCCCTCTTACCCCGAGTGCTCAACTGCTGGGGGGAGAGTTGTGTCTCGAGGGTCAACGCTATGTTATGGAATCTTCCTGCTATATCCAATCTCAACCTTCGGAGTGTTGACCGACTTCTAGCCGGCATTTAGGCGGTTAACAACAGTTTGACGAGTGTTGATGTCCTGCTGGGTGCGTCGTTCGATATAAAGGAGATGTTCTCTAATCTCCCGCATAGCTCGATATTGGATGCGATCTTATGGGTTATTGACATCAAGTTGGAGAAAGGGGTTTCTGCGATTGGGATCTGCAAACAAGGGAAAGTGGCGAAACTTTTAACTAGTCGGGCGGATATGGGATGAAGGAGCATTTCACTTTCTACTATTTTTGAATTTGTTTCTTTTGAGCTTCAGCATACCTACGTGTGGGCTGCGGGGCGTTTGCTTTGTCAGAAGTTCGGTATACTGATGGGAAAATCGTCAAGTCTGGCTCTTGCGTGCTTGCTATGTGCCTATAACGAGTTTGTGTTCTTGACCAGTTTAGGCGCGTTGTTTCGAAGATTCAGATTAGTTGACGACGCTTTTGTGTTCGTGGTGTGTAAGAAAGACGACATGTGTTCGTGGGATAAGGGGTTACGACTCATTGACTCGTTTTGTCGTTGTTATTATAACAATCTAATTCTGGAGCAGACCAGTAAAGCTAACTATTGGGACTACCTCAGGTGTGTCCTTAAGGTGTTTGAAGGGAAGAAAGGACTGTTGTGCTTTCCGATGATGAAAAATCAGAGGGAGGATGTCAATGGCAGAGTAAAGTTTCAATGTATCCAGGATTATGTTTCGTTCTCGAGCCGTCAACAGAAACTGGCGGTAATCAATTCTTTTCTCCATCGAGCTAAGTTATACTCGTCTATCGATGATATGGTAGTACCGGGTTCCTTTCTTTTCACCCTAAAATGTGAACTCTAGAAGAGGGGGTATCCGGATTTTTTTTTTGACTCAGCTCTTGTGAAATTTTCTCGAAGATTTGAAGGTTTATGGAGAGAATGGTTGCCTATCTTCACATGATGGGGTCAATTTTTGAATGAGGTACGGTACTTTGAAGACCCCCGTTGTTAGGGGGTATCGGTGCATGCTAACAGGCAGGGGCTTGGTGCTGGTCATCTGAGGAATCGTTTGGTCTGTGCGGTACTCGGTGATGTGTATATCTTTGTTGCGTGTTGTGTGTCGGGTATTGCTGAATATGTGTTACGGTATCTGCGGCATTTTGAGGGGGTGTCGGTGGATGATTAACAGGCAGTGGCTTTGTGCCGAGTATCTGAGTAATTGGTTCATCTGTGTGGTACTCGGTGTAGGTTAATAGGTAGTGGCTTTGAGACAAGTGTCTGAGTAACTATTTGTGGGGTATCGGTGTAGGTTAATAGGCAGTGGTTTTGTGTCGGGTATCTTAGTAACTATTTGGGCTGTGTTGTACTCGGTGATTTACGTTTTTTTTGGTTGGGTTTTGATCTATGTGTCGGCCATTCCTGAATACGGGATACGGTTACTGCTAGTACTGAGTATACTATGAGACTTAAATCTTTTTCTTGTGATGATTTGAACCCGGTACTTTTGGCTGCTGCGTTGTTCAATAGTTTCTTGGGTTCGGCTGATCTATGCTATGTACATGGGATTTGGATGTCTTCTTGTGGTTAGTGTACTAGACCTCGTGTCTTAAAGGAGTTGAATTGTAGGCCTGCGTTGGGTTTGGTGACGTGACTTTTTTCTGTCGGCCGGTTCGTGGTGATTTTGACGTCTTCTCTACGGGTCTATTGATATAAGTAGGTCTTCTAGATAGGTGTCTGTCAAGTGACTTAGACCCCTGAAGAGTCCTGGTTGGCGGCCAGGCAAAACCGGCCGGATCGTAACGCCAGTCGGAGCTGTTTGTTCCGGCTTTGAGCCTTATTGCTTATCAATCGATTTCAAGTCGCGTTCGGGACACCTGTGGTCATCTTTTCTCTTCTTCTTGATGGTGTGGTCTTCTCCCTTCTCCCTATCTCATCTTCTCCCCCCTCCTCTCTCTCTTTCCTCCTCCCCTAATTCTTGCTGGTTCTGTTGTGCATGCGTGGAGTGATTACGGCCATTTCGTGTTTATGCTGAATAAGCGTAACATACACTCTGGTAGCCTAGATTGTATGTTATTCATTTTTTCACACACCAAAAATGACCCCCCCGAAAATTATTTTTAAATTTCTTTTTGGTTCGACGGGGTAGGTTCGGGGTCCCAGTACCCCAATCTGAAACCCCCACCCCCAACCCCCTCTCCCGTCGGCCTTGGCGGGCCGCGGTCGTGCCCGCGACGACCGCGGCTGCGGGTGTTTCGTAGCTTGGTGGCTCGAACACTGGGACTGCTGAATCCGGTTCGGCGGTGTCCCTGGAGGTTTTGCTATAGACAAGGGCTGGGGTTATGTTGCTCAAACTCTTAGAGCTTGTCTTTTTTTGGTTATCTGGGAGGTACGCAACAAAAGTGTATTTGCAGGCTGGTTTCTGTCAGATCAGTCAATCAAGGCAGCAGTAACGCTCCAAGTCAGACGAAGCATCAAGTCCTACTGGAGGCGCAAGGTCACTTCGACAAGCAAGAGAGCCGCAGGCCTTAGCTGGTTCAGAGAAACCTGGACGATCTTGGGGAGGTTGGCCAAGATCCAAGATGGAAAGTTAGGATTGGACGATTGGCTGTTAAGCCTGGACTAAGTACCTCTGTACTTCGTATATCTCCACAGTAGGAGGGCAGTAGATGGAGGTAAGTGTGGTCTGGAGTGAGTGCCGTGGATCCTATAGGAGCTAAGGCTCCCCTGGCCCGCACTAGGGACAGGTATGCCGGTTGGGACTAGTTTTGATTTATTGCACTTGCGAGTCCAGGGGGTTGGTCCCCTTGGGGTGTGGTGCCACCCCGTAAGTAAAACTGGGTAATGCTCCCAGAATCCCGGGTAGACTGTGAGGACCTCAGCCTCTATTGTTTGTCAGTGGTAATATAAAGCCTTGGGAAAAAAAAAAAAAAAAAAAAAAAAAAAAAAAAAAAAAACCTTGGGAAAAAAAAAAAAAAAAAAAAAAAAAAAGGAGCCGCGCTGTATCCAGCCGCCTAGCTTTCTTGGCGGTCGTTGAGAGCGAACTTATCTGGAGTGAGAACAAAATAAAAAATTAAGAGGCTCCCTACACAGGCTGTCGCATTACCACACAGACTTTTGAAGACGTGCGGCTAGAAAAAAATTGACAGGTGTCAGAATTTGAATTGTCATGGACTTTTGTGTGACGGCCATGACCAAAAACCTTGCCCCTCAACACCTGTGTGGCGAAGGGGGGGGTAAACTGTCCACCGCCGGCTTTCAATTTTATTCTGACACCTGTCGAAATTGTTTGAGTTTCCACAGCCTGTGTGGCGAGCCTCTAAGGGCCTTGCTCCACTACTCACCACATGCAAAAAAGACAAAAAAACAAAGGAAAAAAACCAAGATCCTAGCTCAGTGGGTACACCTTTGAACTGATGAAATAAAGACCGGTGTTCGAACCCAGATGATGGAACTTGATGAGTAAAACCAAATATTTCTGAATTGCCCCAGGCCGGTCAGCTCAGTGATGATATCTCAAGACCAGAGCACTGGTTGGAAATGCGCATTGTGGTATGAGGTTGCGGGTTCAATACTCAATTGCAACCTTGCGCATGGACACCAGCAGGGCGTTAGATTGACACACGGCTGGGCACACTCCCTTGGGCTGACGCATGGTACTACAACAGACACTGCCTGCGCACCACCCAAGGGTTGTTCATGGTGTTGTATGTTGGTTCTGGGTTTCACATGGGTTGCGTGGGGGCGTTGGTCTTGGGTGTTTTGTTGACCTCCCCAGTCTGGCATATCACATTTTCGTGCCATTTCCACCAGTCGTTCACATGGTAGAATCGTTCGATTACATGTTACAAGGTCACGGGTTCGAGCTTGGTTCGGACTTTGGGGGGTCCTTGTCCAGCTTACCCCGTTCTCTCTTTGATATACGACATGATGCGGCCTATACATCTCTATACACTGATTCACAGAGCACACACAGCCTTCGGGCATACACATTGCTTGCGAATTATACATGGCCTACGGGCTACATACACAAGTTTCCACACATAGTGCTGTCTGTACATCTTCATACATAGATACACGAAGCATACACAGCCTTTGGGTATACACATACATTGCGGACTACACAACTATCAGACTGGGGGGATCTAGTCACTGGGTGGGGTCTCGTATCTGCGGTAGGGACAGGTATGGGCCACCGGAGTTCCTAGTGATATTCGGGTAGTACTGTCTAGTGGCTATATATAAGGCTTAGACCCTGTCTGAAACGTAGGGCCCTGTCCGAGTTCCGCCTGGCCTTGGGTAAGCTAGGGGAATGACGGTAAGACTGCTTCAATGGGTGCTACCCTGTCTGAAACCTAGGGCCCAGAGTCTCTTGGGGCCTGTAGTAGATTGTCTGGGCCTGGCGTCCGAAGTTCCCGTTCGACAAGGCTCGTCCAATTCCGCTTCCACCAGCGCTGGGCAACCTATCAGCCCTTGTGCCTATCACTGCTGTTCTGTCCCAGTTACCTGCGCATCGGTAGGGTAATGGTCCTGAGTGCTGGTCACACTGAGGTTACAGTGAGGTAGGATAGTGGGATAGGGGGTGCGCTAGGAGTATTGAAGCGAGGATGGGATGGGAGGTGGTCTCATATTCCAGGACACCCACGGCGTAGTGCTCCAGGTGATCACTGTGTACTCAGTGACTGGCCTCTACAACAGAGCGGAATTAAAAACAGGAACAGGGGTATAATTAAATCGTAATTTCCAAAATAACCCCAAATTGAGATATATGCGAGAATGCCGCTGAAACATGTGGGTAGAGCGGAATGCCCTTTTGGGCCGAAATGTTTCTGTTGTGCCCCTGTCAGGCGAAGAGAACTTTGAAATCTGGACCTCCCCGTTTTGGCCTCGGCCTCTACAACAGAGCGGAATTAAAAACAGGAAAAATCGTAATTTCCAAAATATCCTCACAAATTGAGTTATATGCGAGAATGATCCTGAAACATGTGGGTAGAGGGGAATGCCCTTTTGGGCCGAAATCTTTCTGCTGTGCCCCTGTCAGGCCGCAACTTTGAAATCTGGACCTCCCCGTTTAGGCCCCGGCCTTTTGCAATAGCGTCTAGGAGAAGTGGACAAGTACTGGGGCATTTGGCAAAGTTAGACGGAACCGGGTAGGGGTATATTGCAAAGAACGGGTGTCCACCCACGCCAGGGGTATTCCACAACATTTTTTTTGTGTCAGAGGGGCATTCGGCCTATCTAAATCATTAACGGTCATTTTGGCAGATGTCTCAACTTCTGGGGGTATTTTGCAAATTATCCAAAAAAATCAATGCCCTTGCTCAGTGGGTACACCCATAAACTATTGAAATACAGACGGGTGTTCGAATCCGGATACTGGAACTAGATTGATGAGTAAAACCAAATACTTGTGAATTGCCTGGGGCCGGTCAGCTCAATGATGATATCTCAAGGCCGTTGCCCTTAAAAAAAAACAAATATAATAATAATAAGAAGTAAAGAAAAATAAAATAATATGGCGGTGTACCTTCCGTGTTCTAGCCGAAGATTCGTTCTGATTTTGTACATTTGCTGAGTCGCGGAGCGAGACCCAAATTCCTGCCCAATGGCATGGCACGTTGTACGCGTCACACGCAAGCGATAGTTTCGGGAAAGGTGTTAGCGTCACACGTGCGGGGTTGTACGCGTCACACGCAACAGAGAATCATGACGCCCCATGCAATGGCACGTGCGGGCTCGTCACACGCAAGCAACTACGGCGGCTTTAATATGGCCTCGTTTAGTGATGACAGGTGGTCGAGTGTCGACACGGCATCGCCCACCGACATTCAACAACTCTGCAAACCTCCCCCATCGCCACTGTCCTATCTTACCACGTCGGAGAGCGGTAGTGAATGCGTTACGGCAAACGCACGTTGCCCTTACTCGCCCGTATCTGGACAAGAAAGCTGCCCAAGTACGTCCAGGACAGTACGAGCGTAAGCATGGCCTTTGCCACGGCTGTTCGAGTTCAGCGCGCACTACGCATTCGCATTTCCCTGTCAGGTCGAAGAGTGCGCCGTGGTACCTTCTGATCATCGGTCCGTAACGAGGTTCTAGTGCGCTACTTGCCGACGAATACATATATATAGACCCAGCCAGCAGCACCGACAAAGCACAAGAAACGGACAGCAACGTGACTGCAAGAGCAGGCAATCGCTGTGGAAATGAGTTGAGAGAGAGAGAGAGAGAGAGAGAGAGAGAGAGAGAGAGAGAGAGAGAGAGCAGGCGGGCCGGTAGGAACTGATTGGGAAGGAGCACGTGGAAGTTGTAGTTTTCTGTCGCGCTTTCGAGGCGGAGACGAGTGAGATCGTCATAGCGAGGGTGACAATGGCGCACGGCGTATCTTCAACTGTGATTATGGCGGCCTTGCTTCTGCTGATTGCAGCTGCCACACCTGCACTTGCGCAACCCCCGTCCGTGAGCATTAATTGGGTCACATTTGGCGGGACCGGGTGCAGCTGGAGCAACAGCAACTACGTCTACTCAAGCGACTCGAAGACGATCACTTTCATCTTCGGCGGGATGGTGGCCACCACCGACGGAGTGCTTGCGGATAAGCGGAAGGCGTGCCAGATCTCCATGTCCGTGAATTATCCTGATGGCTGGAGCTACACGCTGGGGCAGGTGACCGGCCGTGGATTCGCCGACGTTGCCGCAGGATCCAAGGGCGTTTACGAGACGCAATTCTACTTCTCGGGGCAGACTGGCACCCCCAGTGTCAGCCGCACSCTCACGGGCAAGTATGTCGACAGCTTCGAGTTCACGGACTACTTCACGACGTCTGTCTGGAGCCAGTGCAACAACACTCCTAATCTCAATATCAAGTCGGTGGTCAGGGTGGAAGGAAGCAAGGCCGTCATGGCGCTCGATTCCTCGGACACCAAGTTCCAGCTCGTCTACTACTTCAACTGGAAGCAGTGCTAAGTCTCCAGATTTAGAGGCCTCCAAGCCGACGTCGCTGAAGCAGATGAATGGACAGGACGAGTCGGTCCAAGTTTGGCCGCGCACAGAGAGAGAGAGAGAGAGAGAGAGAGAGAGAGAGAGAGAGAGAGAGAGAGAGAGAGAGAGAGAGAGAGAGAGAGAGAGAGAGAGAGGGTGTGGTGGCCATCTTAGACCTCTTGAGGTTTTGGAGGCTCAGACCAG